TAGGTGCTTTAGACCACTGAGCCATCTCTCTAGCCCCCCTTCATGTCATTTTTAAAATTGGGTCTCTAATCCAAGATTTCAAAATACTCATGTGTTGTTTTTGACACTTAGTTTCTTTGACTCTTAGGTGTGGGATAGAAATCCAGGTAGAGGGTAACAATGCTTGGACTGGAACCCTGGCCCTCACAAATGCTAAGCAAGCACTCAGCCCACAATTCCCCCCCCCCCCCAGTACTAGACAGTACAACATATTTGACTGTTACAGGGTCTCACTAAACAGCTCAGACTCATTGTGATCCTCCTGTTTTCAGCCTCCCCAGCACTGGGATTACATATATATGCCACTATGCCAGCTGGCTCAGCCTGCCCTGGGGGCGGGGCTGGCATGGCCCATGATCAAACAGAGGTCCCTGAGCTTGCCTAAGGAGGTACTTTAGTCTGATGAGCTATCTCTCCACTGAGCTATCTTGCTGGCCCTAGAAAGTAAACTGAATTTTGTCCCTGAGCTCTGCTCTCACTACTGCCTTCCCTATTGAGACGGGGGTCAAGCTGTGTGGTTTAAGATGATTTTGGACTCTTATAGATCACTCTGCATCAGCCTCCTGAGCAAATCACCTTATTTAGTCCTCACAAGGAAACATTTAAATTTGATAGTTTGCCCCACATACACAGTTTAATCGGCTTCTAGCCTTACTCTTCTTTTTTTTTTCTTTCTGCCAAAAAAAATCTTTTTTTACCCTAGCATGGTAGTGTATGCTTATAATCCCAACACTTGGGAGACTGAGGCAAGAGGATTTCCCTGAGTTTAAGGCCACCCTGAACTACATATTGAGATCTTGTCTCAGCCCCCCCCGCCAGACACACACATAAAATTCCTTTTCAAATCATTGTACAGGCTAGGTGCTTAAAGGAATAAAATGGTTCCTCCATATGATTTTTGTTATCGGGTAGCTTGTTCTAAAAGTAGCTTGCCAAGTAATTATTACCAGACCTTAGGTGCTCACCTCTCCTTTTGGTGTTAGATTCCAGGTTCTTCACATCTTGAGCAAAGAATTAAAGGGGGAAAAAGGCTGGCGAGGTAGCTCAGCAGTCTAAAGCACCTGCTTAGGCAAACACAGGCAAGTGCACAGGGACCACAGTTTGATCCCCGGCACCACTTGCCACACCAGTGCTGCCCCCAGGTTGGGCTGAGCCAACCACAAAAGAAATAAATAAATTAAAAATAAAGGAAAAAAGTAGTGGCAAGTGTATTTGAAAAAGAAAAAGGGCAAGAGAGACAGAGATAACTCAGCAGCATAAGCGCCTGCCTGGGAAGCACAAGGTCCTGAGTTCAATCCCCAGTGCCAAAAAAAAAAGGGGGGAGAGGCTGGGGATGCAGTTCAGCAGCACAGTACCTGCCTTGCAAGCTTGAGGTCATGAGTTTGATTTCCGGTACCAGAAGAAAAAAAAAAAAAAAGAGGGAGAAACTAGTTCTACACAATGAGCATGGGCCAAGGAAAAGGAAAGGGCAATAGAAAATACCTGGAGGAAGCAGGGTGAGCTAGCTAAGATAACAGACTCTTCTTGCCCTCTCAAGGAAACATGTGTAAGGGTCTGCGAGGAGGTGCTAGAATGCCATGCCTCTGACTGACATCAGGTCTAGGCCGTCCTATTGAAAACCTTCAGTTCTTGAGAGAAGGGTACATGCAAGGCTGTGGGAACTGCTCTGTGTGTTCTGGGATCTTGTAATGAATTGGTCACACTTCCCCATGTGAAATAATTGGGATCAGTGATTGAGGATGCTAGAAGTTACTTGTAGTTTTAAAAATGGCTCTGGTAGGGGCTGGGGAGATGGCTCAGTGGAATAAGCGCTTCCCTGGCAAGCACAAGGACCTGAGTTCTATCCCCGGTTCCGCAAAAAAAAAAAAAAAAATGGCTCTGGTAGATTATCAGACTTTTGGATACTCTGCTATGATAATATTGATTGGAAAGTATACAGAAGTGGCTCTGTCATGCCCGCCTCATCCCTGGGGTGCACTGAGACAGGGATTGAGACAGGGTGTGGTGGCACTCCTGTAATTCCACCACTTGGAAGGCTGTAAACAGGAGGATCACTACGAGTCCAAATTACGCAGTGAGACCCTGTGGACCCTCTCCTAAATACAAAAAAAAAGAAGTGGTTCTGGGCAGCCTGGCAAGTGCAAGGTCCTGAGTTCCATCCCTGGTACCAGAACAAAACTAGAAACGAAAACCAGAAGTGCCTCGGGGGTCCTGGCAGTGTTTTGATCTGAATGGATTCTCCCTGTACATAAACAAGTAAAAATTCATTGAGTTACAGAGATTTGTCCACTTATAGTATATTGTACCTCAAGCTTTGTTTTAGTAGTGTTCCCACACACACATAGCCTTATATTCACTTTGTAGTCCAGGCTGGCCTCAAACTCAAAACCATCCTCCTGCCTCAGTCTCCTAAGTGCTGGGATCATAGCTGTGTGCCACCATGGCTAGCTTAGTGGTATCTTTTTATGTAGGGAGAAGCAAGCAAATTAGGAAGATAATTGGACTTCAACTTTTATTCAGTTTATTGAACATAGATAACCAATGTGCAGTTGGCCTTTAACATTCCAGCTTCAACCTAAGAACCCTTAATTATATTTTGAATAGATAGGACTACATATTTGGGGGGGGGGGCTAGGTATTTATTATAGCTCATTGCTAGAGTGCTTGCCTAATGTGCTGAAAAAGGCCTTGGTTTCAATTAGCAGCATGGAGGGGAGTTGGGTGGTAGAGGAAAGATAAAAATCCTAGTTTGCATTAAAACAGTTGTATGCTGAGAGCAGTAGTACATGCCTGAAATCCTAGCACAGAGACTCAGGCAAAAGGATCATAAAGCCCCACCCAGGCAATTTAAACTGTCTCAAAATTAAAGCTCTGGAGATGTAGCTCAGTAGTACAGTGCCCCTAAATTCAATCCCTAATCCCAAAATAAAATAATTCTCTCAACTACTATGTTTTAAAGTTAAGGCACATGTTTAATATATGCCCAACACTAAAATAGTCCATGTTATATAAGGATTACCCATACACACTGTGCTGCCCTCTCTTGCTTTTCCCTTGTATACAGTGGTGTGCCTCTTTTAGGACAGTTACTCATGGTGGGGGCAGGGGGTCATAGTCGTGTATACTTGTGTACTATACTTAGCACAATGTGTTTAGACTGAAACAGCCCTGAGGTCATATATCATAGTATGCCTTCATTTTTGAACATTGTAGAGTTCTGAGGAAAACTGGTTTAATTTTCTCTCTCTCCTTTAGAGCTTCAACCTTTTATTTTTGGGCTTTTAAGATACTTGCAGTTGAGGATTACCCAGCAGTTTTAGCCATTTACATCTTTGTTTTCTAAAAACTTTTATCCTCAAAGAGTAACACTTGTGCAACAATTCTGCTGACTAGAACAGCTTCATCTACAGTTTTTTTCCTTTGGGGGGGGGGGAGAGGAAAAAAAAAAAAAAAAAAAAAAAAAAAAAAAAAAAA